GCATGGTCTGGCCAGGGGTTCACAGCCTCCTTCGGGCATCCCCCTGCTCCAGCGTGGGGCCCTCCCTGGCCTGCAGGTGGGTCTCTGTTCCTCATGACCCTCCATGGCTGCCGGACATAGCCGGCCTCACCGTGGTCTGCACCACAGGCTGCCGGGGAATCTGCTCTGGTGCCTGGAGCACCTCCTCCCCCTCCTTCTGCACTGACCTGGGGGTCTACAGACTTCTCGCTCTGTCCCCTCCCCTCTTTCCCACCCGCATCTCATGTGTGTCAATGTGCAATGTAGTAATGCAGTTTATTGTTATCTTTTGCCTGCCCATCGTACAGGCTCTGTGGTTACTCGGGCATTCTCAGTGCTCATAGTGTTAACCCCATTTCATTCTGATAGTTCAGAACATGGACTTGAATCTGGTGTATATAGAGGACATAACAGAGGCTATCAAAAATAGACCTGATGTTAACGGTAGTGTTGAGTACTGCCAACTTAAAACACAGCTCAGTAGAACTAGGGGATATTGTCACGTATCAAACTAATTCCTAAATTTAAGATGTGTTGTGACTGATGTGAGAAGCACTTTTACTGAACGTGTATCCACAAGTTGCCTACAGTTAGTTGGCTTCAATTTGAAAGCATTTTAAGTGACCCTAGATCTGTTTTCCTGTGGGGGACATTAAGGGCAGGAATCTGTTCCCAGTTGCTTTTTCTTCTGTTTTAGACTCTAGACTTCTTTCCAAGTGTAACATCTCCTTTTTATTTTTTTTTCCTTCACTCACATTTCCAGAATTAAAAGTGGTAGAGCCTTGATTACTCTGAGTAATGTGCTATGTGTGCAGGCTTGCTGGATGAACTTCAGATGGAGACCTGTTCAGTGTGGAGGGTTTCTAGGTCAGCCTTCCCAGCATCAGAACTGTCGAGATGGGAAATCCCTGGATCTTAGAGTAAATGTACTGGATGTGGATTAGTGTCTAAGGAAATGATGTAGCTGTATCCAGTAGAAGGATGTTTTCATCTTATTAAAGGACATTATTAATGATCCAGTTTGGTCTGGATTGTGAGTGTTGTACAACAGACTCTGCTGTCTGTATTGTGCTCTGATTTCCTTTTCTTAAGTTCCCTGAGTTTTCATGTGTCTCTAACCAGCAGGAAGTCTGCATCTTCATATGACTCCAACCTCACCTTTTGTCTATTATAAGATAATTTCTGTAATTTTATTTATAGGTACACATGTGCATGGAGAAACATAAAAATTGCAGAAGAGTTACAACAGCAGTATAGGCTTTTCAAGTTAAGCCATTTCAGTTAAATTTCAGTACTTCAAAATTGGGAAGTTTTGCTGTAGGATTAGAGAAATGAAAGGATGTTGTACTGTTAAAATCTGAATGCAAACATGTCAAAATAATAATGACTTAAAAGAATGGTGTGAAATCATTAGAATACAGTCAAATATTAGGACAGGTAATCAAAATTACAGTGGTATAATATTTAGTAAAGACTTAATGATTTTTTTTTTTTAATACACATTTTTTAGGATTCTCATAATGCTTTACTGGAATTTGGGAATAACAACCTCCAGATATTGGTGGATATCACAAGGGAAGGAGTATGGAAAAATCCAGTTCTTCTTAAAATTCTATCCCAGCAACCAGTAGAAACTGAGGAAGGTAAGAATGTGGTTATGAAGAAATTATTTGGTGCAGTTTTGACGGGGAGCCAGTGATTTGAAATCAGAAGAGAGTTGTATTTTAAATTGCACTGTGCAGTACTATCTTGCTAAATGACATTTATGATGAAACTGTCTCATAATATGTCCTTGCTAACGCATGTCTGCTTGGGCTATACGATCTGTCAGTTTTAATATTTTCAAACTCCATTTTTAAAAAGAATGTTTTCCTTTTGTATCATAAAAATGCAGAAATTTTGCTCCCTGAGGTGTGTTTTTTTCTTCAAAATTCTGTGTGCTTTTGAATATTTTCCTGAATGCTTCGCAGGGAGGCATTGTGTATGTCCACATCTTTCAGAGGCATAAAAGATATATGTGGTGGGGCGACATGAGTATAGAGGCTTCCTTTCACTGAGCTGTAGGCTATGAAGGTCATTATGTTTAGACTACAGAAATCCTGAATCACAAACAAGTTGAGAAGTGAGGAAAAGGAGTTCTTATCACTTCATATAATTTTTTAATCTCTCTTCTTAAACTATTCTTTTACTAACTGAAATTTTGTCATACTTATTAGTGGTACCATTCAGTACTTGCAGGTATTTCTTTTAACTGTTCCATTAACAGTGCACAACACCGCAGTTCACCTTAGTGATAATCTAAAGTTAAAAATAATATTAGAGGGGAAGAAGAGCTTAAAATATTTTCTTAAATATTAAAGGAGCACAAAAAAGGATTTTAACTCAGGGTTTCTTTCATAGCAGAATCCTTTCTGGATTTGGGTAGCCTTTCTTTGAGTTGTGTTAAGTTATTACTTTTTAATAAATAAATAAATGAGAAGCGCATTTAAGTTTGAGTGGATGTGTTTCTTCCCCGTGCTAGAAAGCAATTTTAAAAAGCAGTCAGTGGTGGGCTGCAATCTTTGCTAGCCTTCACTTCAGGTATTCATAGTATGGCAGAAACATTTGAACTCCCGGCAGCTTTTAATCCCATCTCCAATGTGTCTTGTAAAGAATTGCATTCAATACTACTGTCCTGCCTTGAAGTCTTTAATTTGCAGTATTGTTAGGCTGTCCAGTCATACGATTGCTGCTCTTAGTGTTTCTCTGTTCAAAAGGATGTGCTTTTCAAAATTGGCCCATAATACTGAAAGCCTTCAGCTGTTGAAGAATCATTTACTTGGAGAGTAATATACCAATGAGGGCTAATGGTTAACTAGATTTGCAAACTCTCTTTACCTGTGGCAAGCCAAGAACTTTTTTAGAGGACTGGTGTGAATTCCAGTAGGAGTGATTTCCTCATGTGTATCTGTGTGGATGTCAAAGTTTAACCTCAGGTGGCAGTCAAGTACCATGCAGCTGCTCGCTCACCTCGCCCCCCACCTCTCCACCAGTGGAAGGGGAGAATTGGAGGAAAATACAATGAAGCTCATGAATTGAGATAATGAATAATTGAATATCAATTAATATTCTAGTCATAATATTAACAATACTACTAATACTAAGTTAATAAAATAATAGAAAATAGCACATATAGAGTCATAGAATGGTTTGGGTTGGAAGGGACCTTAAAGACCATCTAGTTCCAACCCCCCTGCCTTGGGCAGGGACACCTTCCACTAGACCAGGTTGCTCAAAGCCTCCTCATCCAGCCTGGCCTTGAAGACAGCTACTACTCTTCTGGCTGTCAGACAGTATCAGTACTCTTCTCAGGCCAAAGCCAAAAACACAGCTTCATGCTAGCCACTGTGAAGAAAATTAACTCTGTCCTGACTAAAACCAGCACAGTGGACTCTATTATAGATTAATCTGATTCTTAAACGTGTGACTGGTTGTATCAATGGCTTATTCCTAAATGCTGCTACACTTCTCGTTCCTGTGCAAGAGCGCATTGACATGGTTCATACTACCTCTTGACTTCAGCAGTAATAGGATAGAATTTGTTTGTTCAGTCCTTTTGGCTTTTAGTTTGGGTTGGAGTGTCTGTTGACCAACTGATTGGCTGATGCATCCTGACCATGTTGAATTGGGCTGAGTGTTGATGCCCATTTCTGAGATCACTCAGCAACCTTGAAACTATTGATTTCTTAGTATTCTTTATTTAGTACATGTTTGTCTGTTTAACTAGTTCTGAATATATGTCCAGAAGAGTTGTCCTCACTGGTGTTTCTTTCATGTGATGCAAGCAGAGGCAACTAGGAGCTTTTCTGGTAATTTTGTAACTGCAGAAGTGCATTCTCATATGGTCTGGAGTAGTCCACAGGCATGCTTAAGCAGCCTGAATGTGATGTTGAAATCCCATGTTAGACCAGTCTCTTGAAGGTTTCTCAAGTAAATCATAAGGCAAAGTGTTAGACATTTTAAATAAAGGACAGTTCTAAGAAGCCAAATATCTGCCTCAAATGTCTTTATTCTGTGGAAATCTTAAAAAACAAACCAAGGTTTCCTGCTTGCTTTCAGGGTACTGAAGAGCAGGTGAACTGAGAAGTGTCATTCTTGTGGCCTGTTGATATGCAACACAGCTGCGTAGACTTATCTAAAAGCTCTTTCTACAAGCTTTCCAAACTATCTGACTGAATGTGTCATCTTAGCATCCAAGCTAGATGTTTAAGATAGTGGTTGAGTACTTTCAACTGACAATGAAGGGAACAGTAAGAAGTAGTTGAGCTCTTGTGGTATGTGTCAGCATGTAGAAAGACAGTGAGAGCAGCACGTGAAAGTGTTGTCCTGTTCCTGCTGTTCTGGTTTGCAGCAAATACTGTGAAAGTAGTAGTGTTATTGGTAATGGAAATGGGAAAATAGCAAGAGGGGTAATGGGGATATTTAATAGCTACAAATACTGTAAAATAATGCTTCATTAGTTAAATAATTCTGTGCCCTTACATTTCAGAGGATGGAGAGGTTTATTATTTTTGTTAGCGTCTTGGTAGATATGAGCACATTGAACAAGAATTGACGTATTGCAGGGGATTGTAGGAGAAAATGTAAGGCTGGAAAAGACAACGTAGGTCATAGGATTCAGTCTCCTGTAATTGTTGCCAGTTATTCAATAACATTGAAAATCAAAATAATGCATGTTGTGAATCACTGTGAGTCATAAAACTCAAAAATGTTACAGGACGAGAGAAGTAGAATACAGTTTATTCTTCTCAGAAGGCAAGATCAATGTGCTGGATTTGTATACCCTATACTCTGGTGCAAGGCAAAATAAAATCTTAAAGATATCCTGCTCTTTATGCCAACAAATGATGGCAAGAAAAATATTTTGACTCCTAAACTGTGCAGTCATCATAATTGGTTTATCTTGAAATCATTAGACAAGTGTAAATCGGTGACTACAGAAGTTATTGCTGAAATACCAACTGATCCGCAAAGCTGTATCTTACCATGTGTTATGATTAATAAAATCTTGTTGGTTGTGTTTTACTTCCATTTCTTTGTTCAGTCCCTTCTTTTTGCTGCACCAGGAACTCAGAAGCTGCTGTAATATCATTTGCCTTGCAGAAGGTCTGTCTGGGTAGCTGGAATTACTCTTTTGGCCTTGTTTAGGACATGGAGCTGAGATTAAGCTACTATTTCTAGGTGTTTACTGGATTAACTTCATCCATTTTACCTTCAGAATCATATCAAGTAAATGCTTGTAGCTGTAATAGGAGATCATAAGCCACTGAATAGTTATCAGATTTGTCTTTTTTTTTTCTTTTACTTGTGTCACTTTTCATCTGTGTGATGTTCTCCTCTGACTACTAGAGACACGCATAGCACTTTCTACAGGCCACAGCAGGGATAACAGTTCTGCTGTTAGGCATCTTGAGTGAGGACTGCAGAAAGAGCTCTAGCACAATGGCTTTTTGGTTGTTTCAGTCAAACTGCCATTTTATCCTTCAGCAGAACAACAGTTTCACAGGGTATCTTCTGAAGCCTTGTCAATGGGTGCTGTTTCAGTTATCTACAACTTAGTTTCTTTGACGAGCTTGTATTTTATGCTTATTGGCTTTTTGTGGTGCGTGTCTGAAAAGCATTCATAGTTTTTGCTGTTGTGGGCCACTGGTAAGCTAGATGTGGGAGTGCAACAATGTGCCCATCTGTAGCTTTGTATTGTGAACTGGTAGATCGTGTTAGTGATCATCAGATGCTTACTTGAATCGAAGATCCTGAAAATGGGACATGTTATTGCCTCTCTTGATCAGTGTTCTTAATTCTTTAATGCACCAGCCTTGAAAAGGAACTGACATCAACTGTAAATATGGCTTACCAGGTTTGTTCCAGCAAGAGTTTCATAGCAGTCTACGTTATGTCTGATGTGTCTATGGCCACTCATAAATTAAACAGCCATGTTTCTGGGGTGCCTGTTGCTCTCAGGTGGCTCAAGATGGTTGTTTTGGGCATGAATATTTGCTCAAGAAAAGGGCCACAAGAAAATGATTGCTGCTTACTCATTTTGGATGACTAAATGGTATGAGCATCCCAAAGTAAACATAATAGGTGCTGTTCAGCAGTCGCCTTTTTTTTTCTTTTCTTTTGGATGGGCATTGGATGGGCTGCCCAGGGTGAGACATTTAGACAATGTGCTTAGGGACATGGGTTAGTGGTGGAATTAGCAGTGTTAGGTTAACAGTTGGACTTCATGATCTTAAAGCTGTTTTCCAGCCTAAATGATTCTATGATTGGGAGAAGCTGTGGACTCCCACAAGGGTAGAGAACCATTACAGAGAGATCTGGATAGATTAGGATCTGGGCAGTCACCAACCATATGAAATTTAACAAAAGCCAGTGCCAGATTCTTCACCTGGGATGGGCTAATCCTGGTTATACGTACGCACCAGGGGATGACAGGCCGGAGAGCAGCCCTGTGGAAAGAGATCTGGGGGGTTGTGTTGATGGTGAGTTGAATATAAGCCAACAGTGTAACAGTGTGCCTTGGGAACCAAAAGGGCCAACCGTGTTCTGGGGTACATCAAGCACAGCACAGCTAACCAGTTGAGGAAGGTGATTGTCCCACACTACGCTGCGCTGGTGTGGCCCACCTTGAGCGCTCTGTGGAGTTGTGGGTACTTCCATATAAGAAGGACATCAAACTATTAGAGTGTGTCCATAGGAGGGTGACCAAGATGGTGAAAGACCTTGAGGACAAGACTTATAATGAGCAGCTGAGGTGACTTGGTTTGTTCAGCTTGGAGAAGAGAAGGCTGAGGGGTGCCCTCATCATAGCCTAGAACTTCCTCAAGGGGGGCGGCGGAGGAGGAGGTGCTGATCTTTTCTCTCCAGTGACCAGCAATAGGACACAAGGAAATGGAATTGAAGTTGCATCAGGGGAAGTTCAGAGTGGACATTAGTAAAAGATTCTCACGAGAGCATGGTTGGTCCCTGGAACAAGCTCCCTGGGGAAGTAGTTATGGCAACAACCCTGTCAAGAGTTCAAGGAGCATGTGGATGATGCACTTAATCATATGGTTTAGTTTTAGGTAGTCCTGTGAGGAACAGTGAGTTGGACTGCATGATCCTTATGGGTCCCTTCCAACTTGAGATAATCTGTGGTTCTATGATAAGTACCTGGGGGGAGAATCAAACTAAATCTGTGAGGTTTTTAATCAGACTAAGTAAATTTTGCAAACTGCTTACAGAAATAATCTGAAGTTATATTTTTACTATGGGATTAGTTCATCAAGTCTGATAATGATTAGTTGTATTTGGTTGATCTAGAGCATAAGCCGAGCATGTCTTAAACACAGTTCTTATGAAGACTACAAAGATAACGTTTTCACACTCAACTTCATTATGTATATTTTGGCATTTTGTGGGATTTTAACAACTTGAGTAGAAATATCTCCAGTTGAAAAATACATAACACTTTCTTTTAAATATTTTTGGTTCTTTGGAATATGAAGCTACAGTTATTGAATCTCTGCTAAACTACTGATGTGTTGTTCAAAATACTATATGGTCTGATCGGTGTCCTTTAGCCACTGCTGTGGCATACTTCCTTAATGCGTTAATGGATGCTTTTGGAGGAGGGGGGAGGGAGAGGAGGGTGTCTGTTTTCTGTAGTTCAGCATTCTCTCCCTACACAGATGGTCTGAATTTGTTTAGGAGAAAATATTCCATTTATTGTTGTTACTTTATCACACGTAGAGTTTCCTGAGAAAGCTGACCATACTTAAAACAAGTTTGAAATAAAATAAGATGTGAACAAAGTGTGACAGTTTCAGTTAAGTGTCAGCTGTAAATTGGTGTATTCTCAAAGGCTTTTTTCTTTTCCTAGCTAATAAATTGATTACACGAGAAGGGCCTTCCTTTCTGCAGATGAGAATAAAACATTTGATGAAGTCAAACTGCATCCCACAAGCTACTTTCTTGTCAAAATTATGTGCAGATTCTCCAGAAATTGCAAATGTTTCATCTTTTCGCCAAGCCTACATCACATGTGTGTGTTCTATGCTGCCTAATGAAGACTCCATTAAGGAGGTTAGTAATCCACAGTCCCTTTTTAATGTGTATTTATCAAGCATTTTAGAATTTATTTCTGTAATACTAAGAACTGAAGCTGAAGGGTGAAACTTGCAGCAGAGTTCCAAAAGAGAAATTAGCTATTGCATACTACAGTAGGAAAGAACATTTGTATTAACTGGTGGTGTAAATAAGTATGTATTATATGCTTGCATTTGAGGTTAGATGTGTTTGAAAGCTTAACATAAAGCTTGTAATTTCAGTTCCTCTTGTAAACAAAATATAATTTGAAAGTTGTCTTTTCTGACTTAAATACTAATACTAGAGCAGTTACTTCTCTTCTAGTCATTCAGACCTAGGAAAGAAAAGTTTAAAAAAACCCCAGCCAAACAACAATAAAACCTAGAGTTGTTGCTCCAGAATCTTAAATTAATTTTTAGCAGTTAATCTTCCTTTTACAGTAACATTCATAGTAATGATTTTGTTAATGCATTGCAATCATAGCAATGTTCATAGAACTGTTGCCTCTTGATCTCATGGATCTGTTATTTTATCAATCTCACTGTTCTTGTTAGACGTGTATGGGTATGGTGTAGTTTTAAATGTGAGACTTGAACATTTTAAGTAAGCCTCTGTGAAACTGGGGAAGTTTCACATATTAAAAGTGCAACTCTGATGTCTGCAATTCCTGAGTAGCAGACTTATTTGGAGTATTCGTGTTACACGTTTAAACTGTTTAAAAAGTATTCCTTTAAAAAAATTCTTTTGAAAAATAAATATTTGGATAGGTGTACCTTCAGTCTCCTCAGTTTGAGCCAGATGCCTGTGAGTTGGCTGTAGTGTAGGACCAATGAATGCATTTAATAGCTCACTGCAGACATGATCTGTGTACTGCAGTGTTTTGGATATATGGGTAACTTGCAACATGTTCTTTGATTGGATTGGCTACTAATGATGAATGGCAAAGAAATCACATTAAATTGTGTTCAGGTTTAAGTTTTATTTCAGAGTTTTGAATTGTAGCTGTATCTGTTTTACCTAGATACTCAGAAGAGTCTTTACGTGCTAGTTAAGTATAAAAGCTAGAACACAGATTGATAAATTGATAAATTGAATCAAACCATGTTAATCACTTAAATGAACCTTTTATGGGAATATGAAGCCAGTAAGCATTATAGTGGGATCTTAAAACAGTGTGTTTTATTGGCTTAACTGGATCTGTAGCCAACACTGTGAAAAATGTAAAGTCAGTGGTGTTACAGTGCCAGAAAGTTGATGTAAATAAATGGCAAAATGAGGATTTGTATGTAATGATTCTTTGCATCATTGGTCAGAGGTATTGTGTAGTTGGCTCTCTTTAGAGAATTGCTGAAATCTGAGACTTAAAACACTTGTTTCCGCCTGTATTTTCACAAGGCAAGAATTGTGTTATATTTTCACGTTACCTATAGTCTTCCTCGGGTAGAGAATTATTGAGTCTAATGACAAGTGGGGAAAAGAGGTGAAAAAAGGATGAAATATGAAGAGCTCAAAGAAGGGCAGTTGTTGGAGAATGAGATGGGGCAATGACTGAAAAGCCAGTGGGGGAAGAGGAAATTAACTGTAATAAAGGAAGCAAGGGTTAAGTGAAATTTGAAGCTCAGCACAGGATGGAGTAGATGGAGGAACAGGCCTTAGTTAAGAAAGTAAATGTTACAAAAATGGTGAATATGAGTGAAGATAGCTTGGGGAGGATTGGAGAGGAAGAGTTTTTGTTATGGAAGATTACACAATGTATGGTCATCCCTTTCCAGGAGCTGGAAATGATTGGAATGGCTAGGTCAGGCTATGACGTTAAATTGTTAAGTTCCTGAAAGTTAAAGCTGGTGAATTACTTCTGTCTGTATCTATAGGAGATAACATACCTACATACATGTGTATGTATATCTGTGTGTATGTACCTATATGTATACAAATATATACATACATGCGTGTATGTATGGCTATAACTCTGTGTATATATACACACTATATATAAAGTTGTCCCTTGTATTTCTGTTACTTTCTGATACCTTGAATTGATCCTAAAGCACACATGTAACAAATAATACAACTATGTAATTAATTGTTCACAAGAATCTTGTGCTGCTATGTGAGAAACATAAAGTAACAGAACTGAGACTTGTCTGACTTACTGATTCCAGTGTTTGGCTTGAATTTGCCAATTTTATTGAACCACTTAAAAGTTTAATTGAAGAGGTTCTACACAGTAGTTAACAAGTAGGTAGTAACATCCTTTACTGTTGCAAAAAGCATGAAGCCCCAAATGTTCCATTATCTCAGATGGCTTTCTCTGCAAGGCAAGTGTCAGCCACATGTAGTAATAAAACAGAGCTTTCAAATGGAACAACCAGTTAAAATTACAGTCAGATTGATTGTTTTAATCATAACTGGTCATCTCTGTAGAATGTCAGTGTGATTGTTTCCTAGGTTGCATTTGAGCTCCATATAGCCATCTCATCATTAAAGTAGGGGTTTTTTTAGTCTGGATTTTCTTTGGGAAAGACCATTCAAAAATCTGAGAGTAAAGCACTTGAGGAATTTTGAATTTTAAAAAACGCCCATTACCCCTTTCATAAAAAACTCAACAAGGAAGCTTAAGAACAGTCACATTTTGGAGGCCATATCCAGACACTGCCTACAGAAGAAGGAATTGTTCCTGAGTTGCATGCTTAAAAGAGCAAGAGGAAAAGACAATGAAGCTTGTTAAAACACTGGGGAAGGATATTTGCTTATCATGAGTTTGCTTGCAAAAATATTCTTAGTTACTGTGTTGTTTTCATTGTCAAGTTGAATCAAGTGTTCTTTTCCCGCTCTAATTTCCAATTTGATTGGATGATTGAAAGAACATTATCTGTCATCCTTGCCCTGCAAACTGTCTATGCTTAATGAAATACTTCTGATGTAAAACATGTAATTTTGTCTTAAATATTATTAACGAAAAAAAACCCCAACCCTCAAACAAACAAACCCCCAAAAAAACCAGTCCATGATCTGAAACAAGTTGGATCATTGACAAAGCTTGAAATAAACAGGACTTGTAAACAAATTGCCTGAATATGATTGAGTTTGGCAAAAATGAATCAAACTTCTATGTGAGAAGAAGAGCGAATCATAGAATGGTTTGGGTTAGAAGGGACCTTAAAGATCATGTAGTTCCAACACCCCTGCCATGGGCAGGGCAACCTTCCACTAGACCAGGTTGCTCCAAGCCTCATCCAGCCTGGCCTTGGATACTTCCAGGGGTGGGGCATCCACAACATCTCTGGGAACCTGTCCCAGTACCTCCCCACCCTCTCCGGGAAGAATTTCTTCCTGATATCTAATCTAAACCTCCTCAGTTTCAGTTTAAACCCATTACCCCTTGTCCTGTCACTCCATGCCCTTGTAAAAAGTTTCCCCCAGCTTTCTTGTAGCCCCTTCAGGCACTGGAAGGTGCTATAAGGTCTCCCTGGAGCCTTCCCTTCTCCAGGCTGAACAAGCCCAATTCTCTTAGCCTGTCCCCATGGCAGAGGGGCTCCAGCCCTCTGAGCATCTTCATGGCCTCCTCTGGACTCCTCCAACTGGTCAATATCCTTCTGATGTTGAGGGCTCCACAGCTGGACACAGCACTCCAGGTGGGGTCTCAGAAGAGCAGAGTAGAAGGGGAGAAATATTTTTCATTCTACTATAAAAAAAAAATTCGTGGTAGGCACATAACAAAAGACCTGTAGACAACACTAGCTGACAAAGAGGATAAGAGGCTGACTTTTTGACATCTTGAACTTTTTGGACCTGGGTTTTAATTTTGAAAAGGAAAACAGGGATGCCTGCAAGTGCAGAGAAGGAATGGGAAGTTTTGTATAGAATGTTGCCTGTATCTAAGTATTTTTCAAAGCTGCACAAAATGGAAGATGATCCCAAAGAAAACTAATGCTGAAAAGGGATCAGAACTAACAGAACTCTGGGTATTAAAAGGAGACCTGGTATTTTGTTCATGTGTTTGTGAGACCATTTGATACAGTAAACATGCATTTTTTTAAGTAAACATTCTGGGAATACAATGCCTCTTAATTTTTTTTTTTCTTTAAGATTGCAAAGGTGGATTGTAAAGAAGTACTGGACATCATATGTAATCTGGAATCTGAGGGGCAAGAAAACACTGCATTTGTTCTTTGTACAACATACCTTACTCATCAGCTTCAAACAGCAAATGTGTATTGTTCTTGGTAAGTAATAAATACTACAGCTACTCCTGTCTGTTCCTCACTGGCTTGAGTGCAAGAGAATTGAGCCGATATAGTACAAAAATATGTAGCGAAAGTAGATATTCTTGAACTTCAGAACTGCATCAGACTGAAGTACTTTTAGACAACATGACAAAATAAATAAGGACTCTTGCTACAGTGATAAGGCATTCAGACAAAATTAATGTTTAAATAATTTTAAAATTAAATAGCACTTGTATTGTTGGCATTAACAGTAATGCTTTGGCAATATAGTAGCTCTGGAAGTAGTGCTGGATCAATGCTGTCTGGGTTGATATTGAACCAGTAAGCTTGGTGGTTCCACGAAGTATGTTGAAATTCAGGTCTTCCCTCGTGAATACTTAAGCCCATGAGAGTTTGCCTTTTTCTGTTTCTTCCACAGAGATTTAAGTAGTAGCTATGGGCAGAGGCAGCACCCATTAACTTTGCTGCTTGCCCTCCCCACTAGTGCCTTTTTATTTTTGTAATTTCTGTAATTCTGGGAATTTTAGTACTAGATTTTGGCCAGATTGTGACTATAAAACTTCTCTGCCCTATTAACTGGCAGGAAATACAAAACTTTTTGCATCTTTCTTTCAGCAGTGACAAACTGGTAGAGCCAAAGCAGGGAATCTGTTTTCTGCCCCTTACAAAAAAGGGGTTTATAGTTCTGGCTTTCAAGACATGGCTAAATATGTAGTTTTCTCCTGTTAAAATGCTGATGTGGATAAAGCTTTACATTAGCAGACATGTCAAGTATATCTTGGGAATTTGGATCCAGTCAGCTGTGGTATTGTTCATTTACCCATGACACATTTTGAAGTCATTAAGTAAAGTTTTCACAGGACTTAAGTGATAGTTTAGCATGGTCCAATCATCTGTACAAGAAGTCCAGAAATATTTACATGCTGCTTCTGTTTCAGGCCAGAAATGGCTTTCTGAGAAAAGCATACCTTATAGAGGGAAATAACCTTGTGGAAGACTTAAGAGGGGAGAGTCTACCACATTTGAAAGTTCTAGAGACTGACTGTTTTCCACTAGTGAAGTGTGTCGTTGGAGATTAGATTAGATTAAAGTCATGCTCAAAGAGATAGGAGGCTGAATTCCAACCCATGATCTCTTTTTAAAGAAAAAACCAACAACAGCTAACATTCTTTCAGGCTGAACTACATGATGTGCTGTTGTCCAAGGAGACAAATAGGAGATTTGCTTTTGTCCAGTTCGATCTAAAAGCCATGTCCCTAGGGTGCAAGTGAAGAGAGATGGACTTCATGTGTCCATGACTTAAATTATTGGGACTGGAAAACAGACTTCAGTAGTGTAGCATTTATTGGTACAGAATAACAGCTCTTTTTTCTGAAAACTGTGGATAGATTTTTTTTTTTTCCCTTGCAGTAGAGTCTGAACTGAAACTAGTTAGAATTTGAATAAAACTTTCAAGTCCTGTAGCTGTCTAACCTACATTTTCTCCTAACTAATGAGTCAGGAGAGATCAGTTACAGCTGCAGATTTCCCATGTCCGTGTCTGTCTGGATGGTGAAGGGGCCTGCCTTAGGCTAAGTTATGCGCAACCTGGTGCAGCTGTAACATGAGTAGGTACTTCCTTAGCAGCTTTAAAATTGGCTAGCCTAGGTGACAGGCAGTGAAGGCTTGAAGATACAAATGTTAGCACTGTCTAGCAACACAGGTATGATCATTACAGAAGGCATTAGCATGTTTTTGTCACTCATGCTGAAGTCATGTCATTATGTCTACTCTGTTGTTAGGGGTTAAAGGTGCTGGTTCAAATTGTGCTGCTTTGTCTGTGCATGCCACAGTTGCCCCCTCTGCTGCTGCCTGACAAACTTCTCAAGTTTCAACTGCCCTCCCCCAGGAATGAGACAGGAGAATAAAGACTTCTAATACTGAAATTGTATAGGTGTTTAAATTCAAATTCTAGTGCCATACATAGCACTCCTTGTGCAACAGGCACACAGTCAATGTGGTCTGTACCCACTGAAGAGCAAAGCTTCCAGTATGCTGGAGCTTAGGTTGAAGAAATTCACCTTCTGATGGACTCCTATCTTGTGAATCTGGTATAATACTTCTTGACCATCAGATTACTTTCTCACTTTGAGGCTGTACCTCTGTTTAAAAAGTACTGTTGCTTGAAAGTGAAGATGGCTTGCTGGTCTAATTGGCCTTTTTTCTTGACCTCTACCTACTTTCCTTGTGGCAGATAGAGATCTAGTGATCCTTTAGCCACAAGGTAGATTAATTCAAGTTGCTGATATGACATAAAACTTTTAATTTGTAGGATTACTTTTGTCAGATCAGCCATCTTAACTGATGAGGTGTGAAATTACACATTACAGAGGCATGCAAAAATGAGGCAGCCTCTGCTCCAAACAAACTGTGATGATCACAGAAATCATTGCAGAGCTGATGTGAATCAGTACCCTGGAAAAGGGATAAGGTAATGTTGCTTTCTCTGCATTAGTAAATTGAGCTCAGTCAAAAGCATGACACATGTCAGAGCTGGCTGGAAGGACAGGAAATGTTAAGATGAACTCACTGCAATATGCATGTTTAGCCTAATCCTACAACTAAAACTAATGTGGAGGAATCACTTCATTATATAGGCTTAAGTACAGAATGAATATACACTTAAAATAGTTAAATTGAATACATGAATACATAAACTGAGACATACTCCTTTTTGTGACCAACTGGTTTTAAGGGGCAGCAATTGCTTAATTCCCTTCAAAGAAGGTCCTGTCTAGTTCAAAGATAGAGGATTGTAGCTGAAAGGCTGTTTTACTTTGTGATCTTGATCTACTGATGATTTGGACTCTACTCAAAATTTTTCTAGCAATGTCATCTTTTGGATTTTGATTGTTAATAATAAAATTGGTTTACCATGTGGTTAGACAGTACCTAGCAAAGAAGTGCAGTCTGTTCAGCTGTGAGCTGTAACATCACTCTCCATCTAGAAAGGGAAAATCTACCTCACTTCCCTCCCATCGCACTGCTCTAGCCTCTACCTAATGGCACAGTGCTAACTCTCCAACTCAGCACAAACTTCTTATTATTCTTGCATATTTAGAGAGGTTAAGCTATTTAATTTGTTTAGCTCAGCTTGTCCTGTAGCCTCGTGTGTACCTCCAAGAGATTAGTAAACCTTATATGGCTATGAATTAGTCCTCTTGGTGTGAAGTTTCATTTCATAGCTGAAGGTGAAAGCAAACTTAAGCTTATATATGTTATTCCTCACCAAAACTGGAAGGTTTTGCAATGATTGTTGCTGATAATCATAAAATAATGTGTAATGCCACTTTAAGACTGGAGGTATCTGCCATGTTTGGAACTTTAAATAGTAGTGCTGATCTGAGCAGTAGTTCTGAGCTAGCTGATTGCCTTAGTCTCCAAGGAGTCAGGCAATTAATCAGTCCATAAAATAATGCATTCTTTAGTATTAACACAAGTGGCATTAAGTATGAACTGGAGGTTCCATGTGCTAGTGAGATTTTTTTGCTTCTGTTACTGAATATCTGTCTGTCTGGAGTTTTTTCTGTTCTCTGCACTGTCTCACATCAATTTTGAAAGGGAAAATTGCACAAATACTGAGAGTTGTCTATTCTTGCCTTTCCTTGTGTGTGAAGATTTTTTTCATCACCATCCCTGAGGACCCCTTCCAACAATGTACTTCAACTTTGCAGAAAGAAGGGGTGTGATGAAGAAAAACGGGGCAAACACTGACAACATTTTGCTCTGCCAAAAACTCTGAGGAATAAGGGATTATCCAGAGTGAACCACTATTCTTCCAACTCCCAACTATGTAAATGTACTGAATAGGTGTACAAAATTACAAACTTTTTTTTGAGTTTGTTTTGTTTCTGTTGTGGTGATGCTGAGTTAATTTTTTTTTGGTAATACTTTATTTTTATGTGTGTGTATATATATATATATTCTGTACCTTCCTTGCGTAAGCTTCCCTTCAATTCTTCCACAATAGTCATCCATTAAATTTTACCTTTGGTCAACTTCTTGGGGTAAAAGGGCAGTAGAAAAAGTTACTGATATTCTGGGTGTCATACCTTTTTTTTTTTCTCTCAACTTCTGTTTCAGGATTTAAAATTAAAACAGAATTATACTGCTTGTGTATTTGTTTATTGTAGGCCTAAGTAGCTTTCAGCTGTCTCTTCCTGACTACGAAAGGCTGTTAATTGCATTTCTGGGCCATTAGACAAAATGAACAAAAAAACCTACAAAAGATCAAAAAACTATTACCGGTAAATGTTGTCCCATTTTTGTGCAATAAATGTATCCTAGGTCAGATCCATAATAAGGCCTCACTCCCTTTCACTTGGCTTAGGGTTCAAGAGTAGGATTGCAATAATTCAAAGGCAAAACCTTGACATTGCCGATATTCAGTGTAAAGTTTGCCTTAGTGCTTTTTCTTGACTTTTGGTTCTAGAGACTGTGACTGACCTTTTATCTAGAAACCTGTATGTATAATGTGATGCACAGAATGGTTAAGTTAGCAAAAGTGAAGTTTGCTCCTAAAGGAATAGAAGAAAAATTTTCAAGTGATATGAAAGATACTGATCCTATCGCTCTTCTGCTCTTCTGTTTCTGCGCTGCTCATTGTGAAGGCAGAGCAACACAAAGTCACGGTTTGCATCACTGAATGGCTGTGTTGCCATGGCTATAGTAAATTGTGTAACAACTACTCTGTGCTTCTGTGGTACAAGCAGTAAAGTACGTATCTGCTCAGAGACAGCGGACTTAGCCCTTGGCTTACATATTCCTTATGTAACACGTCACAGAGTGTGTTCGGTTAGAGGTATCTTCTAAAGCGCTGAACGGCAGTTACATCATTTGAATGCAGACATCAGCATCTGAGCAACCTGCCTTGTGGGAGACAAGTGGCTACTTTACATCATCTTACTATTTTAAAATCCTGTGTGAAAAGTCTCTGCAGTGTGTGTGTGGGCGGGGATTCTTGTCTAGAAAGGGAGTCTGTGCAGCTATAGATGCCTGCATTAAGCAGGGTGAATCCCATTGCCAGTGGTTTTCCCCACTAAATGACAGCAGAAACACTGTGGTTTGTTCTCATGCTTGTTTAGGAGTAAAAATTCTCTTCAGCATTTTAGAGATGGAGGCCTGATTGAAGTGTGTGCTGTTTTTTTAACAAACATTTAAATTGTGGCATCACCTCTGAACTAAAGTGTGGACAAATTGTGTATATCTGCAATGTTCTTACATTCTGCTTTAAACTCTTTGCAGGGAACTGACACTTTTCTGGAGCAAGCTGCAGAGAAGAATAGATCCTTCTTTAGATTCCTTTTTGGAGAGATGTCGTCAATTTGGCATCATTGCCAAGACATTACAGCATTTGTTCTTCTTGATAAGAGTCATACAGTCTGAAGTAAGTATGCCGCAGTACAGAATCTCTGGACACAACCAGGACTATTTACATGATTTTATTGTTTTCTGTATAACTCTACTGAACTGATATGAAATACAGCTTATTTCATTTTTTGTACTTTCTGATTAAGTGCCCAGTAACATACTAATAAAAAAATCTCTGAGAAAGGCCTACCACTGTAAGTTTTGTGCCAGCCAGACACATAGAAGTGACCTTCAGTCAGTGTGGAATGGTTTGTGTGTTACTCTGAAAATACAGTACCACAGTATTTTGCAAACAAAGCATAGATGTGTTGTGATCTGATGCCTGTTTAGAAGTGAGGCACAGCAGAAATTTTCTGCAGCATCTCTAAGAGATTGAGATGGCTGAAATGTCTCATATTTTTGTATTCTGCGAAAATACCTTTTCCTCAAAACATGGGATATGATCACAGCTGGACTTCCACCTTCTGTTCTGATGCCTATCTTTAGAAAAGTTGCAGAAAGTTTCAAGAGATCCTTAACACCAATTTTTTAAACTCATACTTTCTGTTTGAGGAGCGATGGAAAGATTTTAATTGATATAGCTACCCAGGAAGCAAATATAGCATGCTCTTCATAAGAAGAGTTTATAGTTAATCTGGGTAGTTGCTCAGTAGGACATTTCTGTCTTCCTTTGATAGCTACTCTGACTCTTAGAATTGTTCAGACTGAAATTTCTTGTGTCTGGTCATTATATGAGTAGATTTGTGGAGGGCAATTATGAATGAAAATGAATGGAGGGAAATGGAGGGAAAAAAAAGCTAGCTGATAATAATGATTTTAACTGTTTTAGTAACAGTATTATATGGAACATTTACCTTAAATATTAGATATGGGATGTCATCCCTTTGGAATGTCATAATTTCCATAATATTTCAGATATTTCTTCTGGAAAACATCATCGTTTTGCACATGTAGACTAGAATTTGCCATGTGAACTTCAGTTTTGTGAATATTAACGAATTCGTTCATCTTTTTGCATTCTTATATGGACATGAGTTAAATTGGAGTTAAGGCATCAAATGGATTATGGATAAAACAGACAAGGTTCCTTTTTTCAATTAAATTTCTCTCTCGCTTGAGATTTGTTTGCCTGGGAGTTTCTTTCACTGGCTAGTTAATCCTGTGAACCAAATGAGTCATCAAGTATAATTTGGTAAGATAAGAGCAGTTTTCAGTCCTAGTTGAGAGTCAGAGTAGAGATCAGAAAGGTTATGACAGATCATTTTGACAGATCATAGAGGAGAGTCCAGAACTCTGATTTGGCAAAGATGAATTCCAGTAGTGATTGCAGAGAGAAATGTTTGCTCCTAGTTTCTCTAAAGCTGGCCAATTTCTACTTTTAAAATTTGCATCATTGTGCACTTTATATATAAGCATAATACATTATTAACTGTATACCCTGTATACCAGTTCTTTCTGTGTTTTCCTGCTAAACCATTTGATGTTTAGCAGATCAACACTGTTATTGAATTAAAGAAGCATTGCATAACTTCCAGTAAGCAGTGCACAGTGAGTATAAGAGCTTGCTAATTCTTTTAACTTGTTGTTACTTATTTTGGATCTTTACCCTCTGAGCTGGTGTGGATGTGGCTGTTAGCCACACGTCACCTCTCTACACCATTCATAAATACCTTAACTGTTACTTATATTTAGTAATAATGACTTAAATCAGATTCTTTATGCTGAAAAGCATGTTTTTGGAACAAGGTAACTTTCAGTTTTGTCCATCTAAAATTTGAAATGTTGTGGGTTGGTTGTTTTGTGTTTTTTGTTTTTTTTTTTTAAATCAATGTGTGCATAATATTTGTAGGTTTCTTTTTGATGCTGTTGGGCAGCACCTCGAAGTTGCATAAACTCCAAGAAAATGTTTGCAAGTGAAATGCCAGTTATTTTCATTGGGAATCATTTCTGCTACTGTACTACTTAGGCTGTTGAAGGTTGTTTTGTTTCAGGGTATGATTTACGTTGATTTTCTTATTACACAGTATTGCATATCCTGAATTAATATCTTGTGTGGATACTGTAGGAAAAATATATATGGAAGATTTACACCATTCTCTTTTAGATATCTGACTTAGTTATGATTAAGGGTTACTCAGTGAAGTGGGAGAGGAGTTAGATGTTTTGCAACACACAATGCCTCAATTAGTTTGTGCGACTCTTCCATAGAGCGCATTAAATTTGAAGTGGATCCCCTCACTTGAAAAGTAGAAGTGGTTCCTCACATAAAATAAACTACAGCTTTTCAGAGTGTGTTCAGTGACTCAGATACTTAACACTCAGAAGCCTGAATGCATTCTGAATGGCCTGTAGTCTGTCAGATGCTCGCATGGTTTGTTTCTTCATTGTGCAGTTCTACAGAGGACGTACTTATCGAAGAGAAGTAACGTTTGTTTTGTGGCTGGCTCTTTTTTTTTTTTTTAATACAGGCAGAAGAAGCAGGACTTGCTGTGTCTGTTTTGTTGTGTGTGAGAGCCCTTCAGATCAGATCAAACGGAAGTGATGAAATGAAGACCTCAGTATGTAAAACAATTGCATGCCTTTTACCAGAAGACCTTGAAGTTCGAAGAGCTTGTCAGCTCACAGAATTTTTACTTGAGCCAACTTTGAGTGGATTTAATGTGCTGGAAGAGCTCTATATGCAACCAGATCAAAAATTTGATGAAGAGAACGCGCTGGTTCCAAATTCGCTCCGTTGTGAGCTGCTGTTAGCTTTAAAAGCATATTGGCCATTTGATCCTGAATTTTGGGACTGGAAAACTTTAAAGCGACATTGCCATAAACTGTTAGGGAAAGTAGCTTCTGATTCTGAGGATGATGCAAGTTGTAATATGTCAATTAATGAAACCGACATGTTGGAAACTTTCTTTAGTGACTATGATGAGACAAAAGAACATAAATATTATGAAGGAAAAGACACAATGAACCACTCTAAAGAAAAAGCAAGAGTAAAAAAACCAATTGGTTCTTCAGAAAGATACCAGAGATGGCTTCAATACAAATTTTTTTGTGTGCTCTGCAAAAGGGAGTGTATAGAGGCTAGAATACTGCATCATTCTAAGATGCATATGGAAGATGGTGTTTATACGTGTCCAGTGTGTACAAAAAAGTTCAAGAGAAAGGAATTTTTTGTACCACATGTAATGGAACATGTTAAAATGCCACCTAGTAGAACACACAGACCTAAAAAGAAAATAATACTGAAAAAAGAGAGATCACCACAAAAGACTGCAGCTTCCAGCAGCCCACCCCCAGCGTTTCAGGAGAGGTCACATCAGCCACAGCTGCCAGAAAACTTTGAAAATGACACACATGAATATGTCACATTTAGCCAACTGGAAAATTGCCAGTTACAAGACAGAGACATCTATCCATGTCCTGGAACGGATTGTTCTAGAGTATTTAAACAGTTTAAATACTTAAGTGTACATCTGAAAGCTGAACATCAAAACAACGATGAGAATGCAAAACACTACTTGGATATGAAAAACAGGAGAGAGAAGTGTGCTTTCTGTCGCAGACATTTCATGACGTCCTTTCATTTGCGGGAGCATGAACGCGTGCACTGTGGACCCCAACCATATATGTGTGTGTCAATGGATTGTTATGCTAGATTTGGGTCAGTTAATGAGCTGCTCAATCACAAACAAACACATGATGATCTTCGTTATAAATGTGAGCTAAATGGCTGTAATATTGTTTTTAGTGACTTAGGGCAGCTCTACCATCATGAAGCACAGCACTTCAGAGATGCATCATACACCTGCAACTTTTTTGGTTGCAAAAAGTTTTATTATTCAAAAACTGAATTTCAGAACCATCTTGCAGTGCATAATATTGAAGTGTCAAATGGAGAAGTGAAGCAAACACTAAAACTTGAAGAGGCAGTTTCAAAAGACAAATGCAATTATCTTCCTGAGTCTCAGCTGCTTGAACAATCTGAAAATTCCAGTCTAAACAATAACTTGGATCCATCAGGCTCTCAGGAAATTCCACAGGCTCAGGAAGAAGCTCTCTCTGATAGTGAAGACCTGGACAGTGAAAGTAATTGCAGTCTTCATTGTGGGGACCACAGCACAGGTGCTGCAGTAAACCAGGGCCAAGTGTCTCCTCTGCTGATTGAAACAATGGCTCACAATCAATCAGTTACAGGTTTTCTCATGTCCCAGGAAGGAGTCTTCCATCCAGCAGATGTGAAACAAGAGTGTTCTGATGTGGCAGTTTGCTTTGATGAACAAAAACTTTCCTGTGGTTTTGAAGGCTGCTGTTCCACACACAAAAATTCCAGAAGTATACAGAAACACCTTCGCAGGGCCCATCCATATAACTTTAAAGGCAAAAAAAATACAGAGATGAAAACTAAAGACTTACTTGATCTGTTGAGTGACACTCAGGACAGTAAATCCCCCCCAGACATTAGTACAGAGTTAGGTCATAATTCAGATACAAATGCTGACTCTTCAGAAAGCTTGTATTGTACTACAGATGCTAAAGGAAGCAATGGCCTGAAGGAAGAAACTTGTCCTACTTCCCCAGAAACATCTTTTTATTACAGTTCTAAAGAATCAAATATTGAAGATAATATGTTGGAACTGATGTTAGGCTTGAAACATCTAAGCTTAAAAAATTCCAACATTCAGAATTCTTCAAGACACAAGCCTTTTTTGGGCTCTTTACAGTCCTGTTCATCTAGGGATGCTAAGTGCCATGAGTCAGTAGATGAAACTACCTCAAAATTTCAGCTTCAAGAACAAGATAACTTACCCAGCCAGTACCTTACTCAGCTGGCAGCTAAGCCATTTTTCTGTGAATGTCAAGGATGTACATGTGAGTTCGTGACCAGAGAAGCTCTCTTAATGCATTATGTTAGAAAGCATAACTATTCAAAGGAAATGGTTCTTCAGTTAAATATGTTCCAGCATCGGTACTCCCCATTTAAGTGTCATATTTGCCAAAGATCATTTACAAGAAAAACACACCTCAGAATTCACTATAGAAACAAGCATCAGATTGGCTGTGAGAGGGTAGGTCATAAGGTATGTTCTAATGAAAAATTTGATCATGTAGGTTTATGTGCAGATGACGTGCATAAAAAAAGCGCTGCATCAACACCTGTCTGTGCAACCAGCATTAAATTCATGGAACATTCAGAGCACTCTGGGCAGCTGTGTCAATCTAAAAAGGAAGACTGTAGTTCTGAGACAGATTTGGAGTCCAGTGAAGAGACAGACAATGTAACAAGAAAAACTTCTAACATAGCTTCTCTGGACAGTCATAGGGAAGAACTAGAAGCAAAACAGGGAAGAGGAAGCAGAAGAACAGTTGCTAAAGGAAACTTATGTTACATATTGCATAAGTACCACAAACCATTTCATTGTATACATAAAAGTTGCAACTCTGCATTTACCAACCAGAAGGGTTTGATCCGCCATTATAGAACTGTTCACCAGTATAATAAGGAACAGCTCTGCTTAGAAAAAGACAAAGCAAGAACAAAAAGGGAACTTGTCAAATGTAAAAAAATATTTGCATGCAAATACAAAGAGTGTGGTAAGCGTTTTCTATGTTCTAAAGCTCTTGCTAAGCATTGTAATGACTTTCACAATGAACACTTAGAGGATCAAAAACTGCTTTCTGAAGCTGAATCTGCAAGATTTGCTTGTAACCAAGCCCATTGCCCTGCTGTATTTTATACCTTTAATAAACTTAAACAACACCTAATAGAAGAACATGCCAGTGAAGAAAAATTAAGCAAAGATTTTGAAATCCATTGTGACCTTAATGGCTGTGATCGCATTTTCACAAATTACAGTCACTACTCTCAACATGTATATTTCCGACATAGTGAATATTATGATAGTCTCTTTGGAAATCAGAAAGAGGAGGAAGATAATCAAGATAAAGATAAAAATGAACAAACTTATTTGAAAGACAGTTTTGACATAAGCAAGCAGAAGGAGAAGCAGATAAAAGAAAAAGCTAAAAGAATTAGCAGAAGTAGAAAAAAGCATATGATGAGTTTCAAAACAAAAGAAGAAGCCCTACAAATGTGCAAAGAGAAGTCTAACCAGACCCAATATCCTTGCATGGTTCAGGGGTGTTTGTCTGTTGTCAAATTGGAAAGCAGTATAGTGAGGCACTATAAGCGCACACATCAGATGACTAATATGTATATAGAGCAACGGATTCAGAAACTTGTTGTTTGTGTTAAATGTGGCATAATGATTGAAAAACAGTCCTGCCCCGAAACAGCTTTAGACTTGGATAAAAAAGGTGTAGAAGTTAAAGAGGATAAATCACCTAAACCTGAGTATGTGCAGGAAAGTGAAAAACCTCTTGTTCCAAATACTGACTGTGATCCTCAAGATGTAAGCAATGAAAACCAAAAAATATGTCCATCAAGCAGTGTGAGTTTTGATGCAAGTGCCTTTACGTGTTCAGGCACTTTAAAATACAACCACAGTTCAAAGAACACCTGTTTTGAGGAGCATAACGTCAGGGAGACAGTTATGTGTAAAACTGAACATCTTTCTGAAAACAGTGAAAGAGAGGATAGCTCTTATTTCTCCAGTTTACAATTAGAGTTGCCAAGAGAGAGAGACCCAGAAGGATGTAAGCATAGTGCAAGTAATCAAAATGCAAAAAGAAAGGTACTTTGTAGTACAAAAGACAAATTTCACAAGCCTCCAGCTCCCAAACCATTTGATTTAAAGACATATAAACCAATGGGATTTGAGTCTTCATTTTTAAAATTTATTCAGGAAAGTGAGAGAAAAGATGATGATGATGATGATGATTTTGATGAAATAGTAGAATGGGAGTCTCCTGAACAGTTGCCAGTAGATAAAACCTTGCAAAAAGAGGGAGACAGTCAAGGGGATACACCAGTAAGCAGCTTTGTAAATGACAAAGATATAACCCAAAATAGTCATGGACAGCTAACAGAAATCCAGCCCTTGTTGTCAGAATCATCATCTGCCCCTTCTTTAGAAAATTTGAGAGCGATTTTGGACAAGGCACTAACGGACTGTGGAGACCTTGCCTTAAAACAGCTTCATTACTTAAGACCAGTAGTTGTTCTTGAAAGATCCAAGTTTTCCACACCCCTCATAGACTTATTTCCATCAAAAAAGGCAGACGAGCTTTGTGTAGGAAGTACGTAAGTAGTTTTGCTTAGCGCGGACTGCCTCCACTACTGCTGTATGGGGAGAACTTCAGTTTAGAACAGTAATTGTTACAGGACACACTGTTTAGGTTAGTTTAGACTGTTTAATTCCATGAATGTATAATATCTGTCAAAAGTATTGGCCAAGTTAACTTAGCTCCCCATTTTTTCAGTGGACTATGCTGATTTTGGTGCTATTTAACACATCAGAATACTGGGGGCTTCCTCTTGAAGAATAAATGTGCATGATTGTGTATGGAACAAGTACTAGGGTACCAGGGTTTGGGGCGCAATGGAGTTGTTACTTGACTTGAATGTGCACCCTAGGGTGCTTTGTGTAACATATTGTACACTACAGCATCTTATATTTTTTGAGTTATGAGTTTCAATAAATTACAGTTTTTTTCACCCATTTGTTTACTGTACAGTAAATCTTTAATGTGGTTTACTTGTAATTGAATTTGGGACCATTCTGAGTACATTGATTAATGTGGCTTCAGTTTTATGCGTTTGTAGATAATTCATCAGACTGATGAAGCAGTATAGATACAAAACAGTAAAGTATTACATTTTATTTTACAATATTCTGTGTGCTTTTTTCAGACTTGAAAGAATTATAATTAGTACAGACAGAAAGCACTTGCCACTTAAAGATGGAAAGGCCTAGTTACGTTGTCTTTTAAAGAAAGAAGATGCTTTTGAGAGTGTATGGTACAACATAAGTGTTTGCAGAGCATTGCCAGACTTCCAAGAGAGTTGTATCACATGAAAGTATCTGCACATTTTGGGTCCCCTGGTTAGCTTTTTCAATAATGAATAAAACCTATCTGGAAGATTCACCAGAAGTGTAATCTAATATTTTAAGATCTGTTTCTTCTTCTGTGTCTTGTTTCTTGCTGTACTTCTGGATACATCATGAGGCTCAGAATCTCCTTCCCCTGTGAGTGATGTTTACCAATTTCTGTGAGGATGCTAATGATCAAGCAGCTATCACAGCTTCTTGTTGATTGAGGGCTTGGGTTTTCTTGGGGTGTTTTGGGTTTTGTACTGTGATCTGGAAAGTAGCAGTGAAATGTAAATGGAGAAAACTTTGGGAAATGTTTAGCCATGAATATTAGTTGGGTGCAGGAATGAAGAAGGCTATCGAAAAAACTAGCTCTAGAGGTGTGTGGTGACCAAAATTGGGCAGAAAAGGTATCTTCATACTACCCTTAAAGTTACTTGTGTATCCTTAAAATAAAAGCTAGATTAAAAGTCATACACCAAGCAGAAGTGCAGTTTATTGCATCACTTTTCCTGTAATTTCCTTTCTCTAAACTATAAGCTTCTTGTAAAGAAAGGAGTGATTCTTCTCACTAACTTTTAAAAATGGAAGTAAGTTAGGGTCACAAGATTAAATACTGCAACAGGGTCAAGTACCTAAAGTGGCTACACTGTGTTTCACAGTGGGTTTTTTCCCTCTAAAAAAGTCTATGTTTTAATATGAAGTTTGCATCATGTTCAAGCATAATTGAATCTTCAGGATCTCAAAACAGGAAGAGAGATTAGCTGCAGAGTTAATAAACATGGGATGACTGCTTCAGGTAATGTGCCTAAGGAGATCCCAGTACACTACTGGTTTTTTGAGTATACCACAAAGCAATTTGTCCCCTTAAGTGCCTTGAGAAAGAAAACTGGTCAGCATAAATAGTAAATTCACTGAAGTTTTGGGTCAAGCAGCTGCATTTCAGGTAGATAAATAAAGCTTCAAATTTGACAGTATTAAAGAATTCGAGTATTCAAAATACACTTTGAATGAGAGAAATTAGATGAGAATGCAAGAATTAAATGAGATGGAAAATATGTAGATATACTACAGCTGGGAGAAGGGGTGAGACAAAGTGTTCAAGCTTTTGTTTTGGATAGTCCTAAAAATGTACCAGATATTTTAAAAAGTATTTTTGCTGTCATTGATTGTTTCCTACAACTTAAAATGCTTAAATTGTCAGGATAAGGAAGATAGTGTGGTGATGAATTAACTGAGTCATAAGAGACCCGTAAAGATCTTTCTGCATGGGGAATAGCAAAGAGAAATTGATTGCACCAAAGCAATTATCTCCAGACTTAAAAGGTAGGAGACAATTTTGTGATGACTCCTCAGGCTAGCTGAGTCCTCTTTGAAGGTAACAGAATTGTATGTTGTTGAGACAATTGTGTCATGTCTGATGCTGACTACCACTTCGTCCATGAGCACTCACTGATGGAAATCTACTTTGTGTAAGGACCTGAAGTTGTCTTGAGTGACCCGGGGACAACTGGGTATTCATAAGAAACGTTAAAGGTAACACTGCCGTGGTTTAACTCTGGCTAG